ATAATAATAATAATAATAATAATAATAATAATAATAATAATGATAATATCACACCTTTTTTTCTGCAAGGAACTCAAAGCAATGCTAGCTAATCCTCCTTCCCCCCTTTTTTCTTAACAACACCCCTGTGAGGTAGGTTAATCCAGGTCAGCAACTAGCCCAAACCCACCTAGTGAGGATCATGATCCTGGATCTCCCAAGTTCCAGTTCGGTCACTAGGCTGCACTGGCTCTATGGAATTATTCGTCAAAATCTTGATCTTTTTCCCTGCTTCTCCAAAAGGAAACTCTAAGCAGGAATGTTGTTCAGGGGAAAATGCAGAGCATACCAGCTGTTCCTGGAACATGTGAAGAATTTATTATGGCAGGTAGTTTGGAGAGCAGGGAAACTGGGTTGCGGCTGCTACACATTTTCATTGCAGCCCACGAAGCCTGGCTGAGAAGCTCTGAGTTACAAAGGTCTCCAGAGACAGACTTGGGGTGGAGAAGAAGATAATTTCTTCCTGCCTTGGAAAAACCAGTCTCTGCAAGGGAAGGGATTTCTTTTCTAAGGTTGCAATCCAATACGTCAGGTTGGGGGGCAGAACATCTGTCAGGTTGAGGGTCAAATTCCATTGCAGATAATATTTATTTATTTATTTATTTATTTATTTAAAACATTTCTATGCCGCCCCCATCGCAACAAAGCCTCGGGGCGGCTCACAAAGAATACATAAAAACATAAATAATAGTAATATAACAATTTAAAACAAAAAAAAATTAAAAACATTTAAAACCCCCCGGTGCATTCTCGGCTAATTTAAAAATCCTAATAATTCAATAATTTAGCAATTAAAATAAGTTTTAAATAAAAAGGTCTTAGCCTGGCGCTGAAAAACAAATGACGATGGCGCCAGGCTGGGGAGCGCATGCCATAGATGGAATGCGCTCCATAGAATATCTCAGGGACTCAAGTGATCCAAGTTCACAATGTCTAAGTCTTCATTGTTGACCTTGACATTGTGCAATTCTTCTGTAATCATGTTTTTCCCCCTTTTCTTGATGTTTAGCTGCAATCTTGCTTTTGCACTTTCTTATTTCCCTTTCTCAGGAGTTGTTTCAATCCATTGTCATTTCTTCCAGTAATACAGTTCACGTCCTGCATTTGCTGAGAGCATATAAATACCTTCCCTCAACTTTGGTGTCGTCCAAGATGTGTTTAAGTGCACCTTCCATAATACCCCAGCAAGTGCCCAGGGGATTATGGAAGTGGTAACGTGACACATGGTTAGGGGAGGCAGAGATATAAGGTAAAGTCATATGCCACCCATCCATTGAGAAAGCACAAGAGTTTTTAATAATTTTTTATCTGATTGTAAGATTATTTGATCAAACATTGTCTGTTCCCTATAAAAGCCATACATTTTATAATTTTAGTATGCCTTGATTGTATTTGCACTTGGAGCCACCAAGAGAAATCAGTGCCCTGTTCTTGTAATTCTTGGTTTGATTTCAATCTTCCGTCATTACCAAGCATATCATTACAAGTCACAATCTTAGAGCTCTCGGATAACTCAAGGTGAGAAGCATCCGCTGAGTGTGTTTTTATTTTTTACCTGCAAGACAAATACGGGTTAAATCGATAGAGTGCGAAAGGCTAGAACGGCCCGGGGGAAAAAAAGACCCTCTCCCCCCCCTCGCGCATGCAAACGAACGAGAGAGACGGAGCGGGAGGGGAAAGAGGCGGGGAGATGCAAATCGTGATGTCCCTTCCTGTCCTGCCCTTGGGCGGAACTCCGAGCCCGGGCTTGAGAGTCCGATCCGGAGCCGCTGCAGCTGCAAATGCGAATTCCGAGACTCCAGATCTGCCTGGAGGGGTGAGTCAGTCCGGGGCAAAGGGGGGCATCTGCCCCGCGGCCCCTCGCCAAGGCGGCACGCTCCGGCGTTCAGTTCCCCGCCTCTCCCCCATCTTGAGAAACGGGCAGCGAGAGAGGTTAGGCCACTTTGAGAAGCAGGGTCCCTTTCTTGCTCGCAAATCCGGAGCGCGGCGGGGTGTTCCGAAGCCCGAGGATTTGCACTGCGGATCTTGAGGGCTCGAAACGGCTTCCTCTGCATTTCCCCCCCGCGCCGGCTTTACAACAGCCCTGCGAGGTCGGTCAGGCTTTTATGTTGCATAATGCCCGTGGCCAGAGGAACAGCAGCAGGGTCTCGCGCAAAGTCACAGACGTTACAGAGGCGAGGGTTTTCCTGTTTTTTCTTTTAAATGTGTTATTCTGATACATGTATTTATAGAGCGATATTTATTTATATCCCCCTTCTTTCTTGCAAAGAACAAGGCAGATTACATAATTCTTCTCCTCTTCCCAATTTTATCCTCACAACGGCCTTGTGAGGTGGGTTAAGCTGAGACTGGTCCAGAGTCACCCAGTGAGCTCCATGGCCAGGTGGGGAGCAGAACCCGGATCTCCTGAGTCACAGTCCTGCACTCTTGACTGCCTCACCGCACTGGGCCTCATTGTACTTGCATCCTGTCCTTTTACTTGCAAAGAACCCGTGCCAGTTTACCTGGGCTGCCTCTGTACTAGACCTACCTCTGCTTCTGGGGAGGGGGGGGGGTATTTTGCTGTTAGGTGGGTGGTTTGCAAATCAAATAAATAAACTGAGGACTTTCCAGTTCAGAGGTAGCTTCTTGCAGTGCTTTATGTGTCTTCTCAGAAGTAAGCCCCAATTCGTTTAATGAGACATACTCCCAGGGGGACGTGAATAAGGTTGTATCCTCTGGGTTACAACCCACAAATGTTCAGTTCACATGCCTTTTACTCTTCTACATTTCTTTGTGTTACAATCTGGAATTGCGTTCTTTCACAACAACAACAACATTTTGCATATTGAATATCTTGTGCATGTTAAGTGGTAGTGATGCCGATGAGCTCTATTTCAATTCCAAGTTGTAAAACAAGAAAATAGTTATTTATTTAACAATTTTAATATATTGTCTGATGGTTTTAAAATCTCAAGACAGTTTACAAAAAAGCCAGAAAATATATAAATACATATTACAACCATATTACAACTGTGAAATAGTTAAAAGCTCAGTGCCCATATTTGCTCCAGCTAATTAAAATACATGATTGATTTAAAAACTGGGAGAATAAAAGTGGTTTGGCCTGGCACAGGAATGAATGAAGCGTCGGTGCCCAGTGCATCTCCCTGGGGAACGGATTCCATAATTGGGGCATTATTGTAGAGGAGACTCTCCTCCTCGTGACCTTCCTTTCACTTCTCTCAAGGAGGACTCTCGGGGAGGACCTCCACGGCTGATCTTAGGGTCCATAAAGGCTCATATGGAAGGAGACATTCGCTTAGCTAGCCAAGCCCTAAACTTTATATGTTATTGCTAATACCTTCAATCGAGCCTGGACTTCAACTGGTAACCTGTGCAATTTATATAGGAACAGTGTGATGTGTTCTTGTCCACCGGTCCCTGTCAGCAGTCTGGCAGCTCTATCCTGAACCAGTGGCAATGTCCGGATCATCTTCAAGGGCAGCTCCACGTAATATGGAAGAGGTTATACACCAACAAACACAATAACACTTTGCCAGTTAAAATCTAGATCAAAAGGGTAGATTTCGAAAGCCCTCCTAAGAGAGCCAGAAGTATTTGTCTTTGGAGGGAATTCCACAGTGTAGGGGCTGCCACGAAGAAGGCCCTGCCCCTAGTGTCCGCCATCCTTACTGATCTTGGGAACAGGCCAGCTGGCTAGGTCTGGGGAAGTTTCTTAGGAGCATTGACAACCCTTAAAGTAACCTGGAACCTTCAAATGTAGGCTGACCCATTTGTTGTTGTCCAGCTGTTCAGTTGTGTCTGACTATAAGCGATCCTATGGGCCAAATCTCGCCACACTTTCTGATCCCGTGTCACCTCTCTCAGCTGAACTATGCTCTGGCCCACATCCTCTTTGATGGAGTCTAACCACCTCGCTCTTTGGTGACCTGGTTTTCTCTTGCTGCTGAGCATTCCAAACATTATATCTTTTTCTAATGAGCTTGATCCTCCTTCGTGGATCACTGCCTTGTCGTGGCGAAGGGGCTTGCGTAGCTCAATGAAGCTATGAGCTATGCCGTGCAGGGCCACCCAAGACAGGTAGGTCATAGCAGAGAGCTCTGACAAAATGTTATCCACTGGAGAAGGAAATGGCAACCCACTCCAGTATCTTTGCCATGAAAACCCCATGGACAGTACCAAAAGGCAAAAAGATATGACGCCGGAAGATGAGCCCCTCAGGATGGAAGGTGTCCCATATGCTACTGGGGAAGAGCGGAGGGCTAGTACTAGTAGCGCCAGAAAGGATGAAGCGACTGGGTCAAAGCTGAAAGGACACTCAGTTGCAGATGTATCTGGAGGTGAAAGGAGAGTCCGATGCTGCAAAGCTATTTGCTTTCTCTCCAAATACAGGAGTAGCCCTGCTCAGCGTTCATGGAAGGATGTGGGACAGAACGCAACCCTCTTCCCTCGCTCAGGACTGGCTTGAATAGAAACTTTTTTATTCTTCCGTACTTTTAATGTTTAATTTTAACTATGTTTTTATGCTCAGTTCGTGGATCACTTGTATTATTTAGGTATATATGTATTTACTGGATTTGAATTGTAAGCCCTCCAGAGACCAACTGGGTGTCTGGATGGGGTAAAAATACCCAAATAAATAAATAAATAAATAAAGCTGCCAAGGATGCAGATTTGCAGAGGACACAACATTGGGTGGGATAGCTAATACCCTGGAAGACAGAAACTAGATTCTGAATTTCAGCTTTGTTATCTTGCTGACCAGGGACACATCTCGTTTAATGTGCTCTGGCACCTGCTTGTTCGTGACTCGCACTGTCCGTGGAAGGCTCGGGAGCCTCTGCCAACACCGCGGTTCAAACGAGGCCCTTTCCTCTTGTCGCACTTTTTCGCTGTCCAGCTTTCACGACTGTGGGTTGCAATAGGAGAAATGAGCCCTCAGACCAATCTGCACTTGCTTGCCAAGCTGGAGCTCTCGTTTTCCACACGCGATTCATGCTTGTCATGGCCATACGGCCATGTGAAAGCCATCACTTTATTTCTGCACTGCATTCAACACTGTGAGACTGACCCGTTAGAGTAAATGAGAATTTCTTTGTATTTCAGGAAGTGGCAGTCCTCAAAGAAGGTCATCTGTATTTCGTCGAGGTGGTGTGTCCCGCATCCTTTTTTCAGCCGAACCTCCCCTAAGGGGGTCATGCAGGAGAATTCAAATTCTTTACAGAACTCCATGGCCACGGAAAGAGGTATGCAGAAAAGTGAGACTTTCCTGGCCAAAGTAGACAGAATAAGGAATTTGGGTGGGTAGGTGTGTTTGGAGTCTGGAAGGAGTGCCGAGGTGCCTCTTGTCCCCATGGGGACACCTTGCCCTTCGCGGCCGCCATGGTGAGCGCAGCTGGTCACTAAACTCATTTCCTGGAAGAAAAATGTGGGAGACTAAAAGAAAAGCTTGCCCAAGAACTCAAGTACAAGGGCAGGGATGGGTTTTTAGCTCCCAAACACAAAACTGCTCTTTTGAAGGGAAGCGAAGGTGATGGAGGACAGCGGTTTGCTTGTGTGCATGCCAGCCTCCTGGCTCATGCTTAAATCAAAATTAACCCCCTGGCAGGTGCCAGGAGAGGTGGTTACAGGCCTGTGGGTGCCAGCGGGTGCCTTGTTGCAAATCCCAGGCCTAAAGACATAGGCTGAGCTCGGCTGGACCAGACTAGAGTTGACTGAGTCCAGCCTTCCGTACACCCGGTGACCAGCTATCTGCTCCAACAGGAAACCCACAAGCACCCTCCAGCCCATGGTCCCCAGCGACTGCCTTTGATGCAGGAGGTAGCATAAAGCCATGAGGACTAGTAGCCACAGATAAGACTTCTCCTCCGTGAATTTGTCCGAATCATCTTTTAAAGCCTTCAGAGTCGGTGGCCACCACTTTATCTTTTGTCAGAAAGTTAGCTATGGAGAAGAAATTGCACAGTTTGTTTGTGGCTCCTTTTCTTTCCCTAATAAAGCAGGAATGGGATTCTCATTTAAACATTAAAATGCACATGGATGGGAATGCAATATGCTTCATGGAGCATTTTAAAAAATCAGTTTACAACAGTGTCAGAGGGACAGCTAGCCTACGATCAGCTCTCTGACTTGCTCGCTTTCTCCACGTGAGGGATACTGATCGTATTCAGATCTTTGACCCTGCACTGACAATCTGAATGCTGCTGTCCAGGAACTGACAGGTTGTACAGGCAGCCATTGGTGTGTTTTCTTTTCTAAGCTAGCAGGCATTGAAACCTCTGGTGGGAGCAAATTGCCTAAATAAAAGCATTTGGTATGGAAATTTTACACTCTTTTTGGCTTTACTTAATCTACTGCCAGTCAGCTTCTTTGAGGAACCCAGAAAAACATCTCCCACTGCTGCCGAAATATGGAAAAAATTGCTGTTCCTTCAAAAATATGATTACTGCATCTTTCCATCCTATTTGCAGACTAGCATTTTCTTTGTTATTTGATAACTTGATGTATGTTCTTTGGATTCTGTTCTGATTATTTCTAATAGTAAACATAATCTTTATTTGCATTGGCCACAGGCCTTCGCATGGGGAATAAAAATATGCAGAAATATAAGCACATAAATTGTACTGAACTAAAATGCCCCTAATTACATTCTGTAATTTATAGTAAAAGCCAGTACCAAAATGCATACATAATCCATTACACATGTCTTTTCAAAACCTATAAAAGTTAGAACTCTGATACAACATTGGATTTTATTTTAATAGTGCTAGTTAAAATTTTTGCGGTTTTTGCCACGACCTGTTTGTTTTGATTTACAGGAAGCAAAGACACATACACAAAATCTGCTTGCCCTGGAATAGATAACCGTCGGGGAGGTAATAGTAGAGAAGTAATAACAACAGGGAAATGGGCATGTGGAAAGCTAGCGTTTTGAGGAGAAGGTCTTTTCCCTGACATGCTAACTTTCTATATGCAAGGATTTTTTTTTTTTAAAGGGTGGAATCAAACTCTAAAGAGAAAAAGAACCAGATTTGGTACAGCCTCATTTGTTTTCTTATTCCAGTGGAACTGGAGCCCCTCACCACGTTGAAAAGAATTCAAGAGAGCTCTTTCAAGTGCCTTGATGAGGAAGCGACTTCTCATCCTCAGCCTAAACCAGAAACGCAGCTGGGAGGCCATCCGCTGAAGGGAATGGCAAAGTCTCTGCCTTGCTGGGGAGCCCTTGAGAGACTTAGTGAAGCTGCCATCCAACAGAGAATCCTCACAGGAGAGACCCAAGAAAAGCAAACCGAGAGCGACAAAGACTGCAGTTGGCGAGCGGACTTTGTGATCAGTAGGAGAAACCCTAAAAAACGGGACAGGCCGTATAAATGCTCTGAGTGTGGCAAAAGCTTTAGCGTGAGCTCAGACATTATCCGGCATCAGAGAATCCACACGGGGGAGAAGCCATACAAATGCCTGACATGTGGGAAAGGCTTCAACCAGAACTCCCACCTCACTGCACATCAGAGAACCCACACAGGCGAGAAACCATACAAATGTTGGGAGTGCGGGAAAAGCTTCAGCTTAAGTTCAGACTTCACTAGACACCAGAGGATTCACACGGGAGCCAAACCCTATAAGTGCTCTGACTGTGGGAAAGGTTTCATTCAGAAATCGCACTACATTACACATACAAGAAACCACACTGGGGAAAATCCGTACAAATGCCCTGAGTGCGGAAGAGGCTTCACATCCAGCACACTGCTCATAAGACATCAGAGAATACACACAGGCGAGAAGCCGTTCAAATGCTCCTTCTGTGAAAAGAGGTTCTGTGCCAGCTCAAACTTGGTCACGCACATGCGAACACATACTGGGGAGAAGCCATTTAAGTGTCTGGAGTGTGGGAAGAGCTTCAGTCAGAAATCCACCCTGATTGCACACGAGAGGACACACACGGGTGAGAAGCCATACAAATGTTGGTGTAGCAAGATGTTCAGCAAGAGCTCTGACCTCCTTGCTCATGAGAGAACCCACACGGGGGAGAAGCCGTACATCTGTCCCAGCTGTGGCAAAAATTTCCGGATGAGCTCACACCTCATTCGGCACCAGCGCATTCACACAGGAGAGAAACCCTATAAATGTTCTGAATGTGGGCGGAGCTTCAGTGCCAGTTCTCACCTTATCAGACATCAGAAAATCCACCTGGGGGGGAACTGACAAACAAGCAAAGGTGCAATTCTATCCCCCTTCCCACAAAAACAATCCTACTGGCGAAACTAGACAGCAAGGATACGATTCTGTGCATCTTTTGGACGTTCACGTCATTGAACACGTTTTAAATTGCTGGGTTGGCGTATTCTGGGTTACAATCCCTTTTTCTATTTCTGATTTGTATTTACCAATGAAAAATGTTTTCTGGGCTGTGGAAAGAGCTTTGGTTAAAAATTTTCCCTCAGGACACATCTGGGGAGAGAAGGCATATCCCAGATACACTTTCTGTGAAGAAGGGCTTGGCTTAGTTTTGCGAGGCATCGTCCTTCCCCTACAACCACAATTGCCCTGAGTCTGTGTAACATTTTTAGAGAGTTGGAGTCAGCCTGGAAGGACAGATAAATTGACTTCCTCCAGTGCGGTTGTTTCACCTTAACTCTTCCTCAAATATGATCATTTTGCATTTCTATCTCACCTTTCCTTATCTTTATCCAAGGCAGCTTACAAGTTCTCCACCTCTCCATTCTCTCCTTACAACAACCCTGTGAGGTAGGCTAGGCTGAGAGGCTGTGACTGGCCCAGAATCACCACTGGGCTTCATGGTTGACTGAGACTAGAATCTTCACCACTTAACAGTCCAGCGCTCTTAACCACTACATCACACTGGTTCTCCAAGAATGCCCAATCCGACCCAAATGGTCCAGCAATCTGTTCCTGCAGTGGCCACTCAGGTTCCCATGGGACGTCCACAAGTAGGACCTGAGCACACACTCATATTCACCAGCTACTGTTATACAGAGACTCAGTGGCGGGATTCAGACGACAAAACAAGCCATGGTGGTTTTTCACCCTTGTTGGTCTGTCACGTCGTTTGAACCTAGTCATGCTATTTCACCATGGTATGTTTGATCTTTAGAAACCATGTTAAGAAACGATGGTTTGTTCTATGGTTTCTTCATAGCACCATGGCTTGTTGTATTGTCTGAACCCACCGTTATGGTTTCCATGGTGCTGGTATGCAGCTATCATAGAGTCCCCTGGAAAGAGTGGCAACTGCAAGAGCCACTCCTACCATCCAGTCTCTGTGTGGAACAATGAAGAAGAGGCAGGGGCAATGCACCCTGGGATTGAATTTCAGGCGCAGCGACTGATGGGATGCACGCTGAGAATGGGAGGACTGAGTGGGGAGGATGGAAACCGTAATAATGGGAAACCACTTGATCCTCTGTCAGAGAGATCATGGTAAAAACCACGGATCAGGGTAACCACGCAGGACAGTTCGTTGTGTTGTGTGAATGCAGTCACTGCTGCTATCCTGGAGATACTGGAGAGTCGCTGTGCCTAGTAGCTATGAGGACTGATCCCTCCAGGCATTTATCTTGGCCCCTTCTGCAGGTGTCCAAGAAGGCGGCCTTCACTGCACCCTCTCAGGGCCTTCTGTGCCTCCTTAGCCCAGTCAGGCTTTCTCAGCTTGTCCACACTTGCCAGGTTGCTGTGAAGATGGGCCTGGGTGGCCTGGTCTCCGTCTGGTCTGGAGCTTGGGAGGAAGAGAATAGAGAGAAAACAAGGGTCAGTAATGCACAGGCGTTAAACTAGCAACCTGGGAGCCTGCCTTAGTTTGAGTCCAGCCCTTAGTCCAGCGCGTTGAGCACTTCCAGCACTGACTGGCTGCAACGGCTCTCCAGGATTTCCCGCAGGGATCTTTCCTGGTCTGCCCTGGAGATGCCAGTGGTGAGCTTAAGGAGCTCTGCCAGCCAAGCAGGGGCTCTTCTGTTGAGCCACGCTCCTTTGCCTTAAAGAAAGGCTCTAGTCCTCATGGTTTTGAAAAAGGGGCTGTATTCAGTGGGAACATAGGAAGCCGTTGGATATCAAGTCACCCTTGGTCCATTTAGCCTCCTGTCAGTGGCTTTCCAAGGTTTCTGGATGGATTTTTTCAACCTCGTTTGGAAATGCCAGGGGTCAAACCTGGAAATTTCTCCATGTAAGACAATGAGGCAGGCTCCTCTCTTTCTGCACCTTTCCTACAGGAGCTTCTTTATGATGAAAGCACTGCAAAGTGTCCACTTTAGGAAACTGGTATGTAACATTTTATGCCCATGGGTGCTGTTACTGGAGGGAATAATTGTCCCATGCCATAGATGTTTTAAAAAATCAGAAATGTGGGTTTGGATGTTTTCTTTATAACCTGAACGACATTCTAAATCTGCCCCCTTGAATCATGGGAAGCCACCACCCGAGTCTTCGCATGCCATGGAAACCAGGCGCTTGGAAAGTCATCTGGTTTCCCTCAGATGTTCTTCAGGGGAAAGCAGAATGACACACAAACACATAAATAGAGAAAAACAAACCCTATAGCAGAGTTTGCTTCTGTGGTCCTCAGTGTGATTTGGACTCAACTCCCATCATCCCCAGCCAATGGTCAGGATGAGGGGAGTTGTAGTTAACCATATTTGGAGTGCTACCGGTTGTCCACTCTTCCCTTGGCCAGTTATAGCCAGCTTCCTTGGTTTACTCTGGAGTAAACTGGTTCCTTCATTTGCGTTTTGAGATCTTAATTCAGGTTTGTCAGACTGTAAAAAGAGCTGCTCTCTCTCTTTTCCTGTTTGTGGAAAAGGTCATTTTCTTGATGTTTGGGAAACTGAAAATCCACAAGACCTAAAAACATTGGTGTGTAATTTTGCTCTTCCTGCCACTGATTAAACCTTTGGAGAGATGGTGCCACATTTTAGAAAGGGACATGGAGTGGGGGCAGATAATCGGCCTAGTCTGGGGGATAACCAAACGATGGATGCTCAGACGAAAAAGAGCAGGGCCTTCTGGGAAACCCTGGAAGGCCCCCAAGGCCTGATGTTCTGCCCCATAACCATGTGGGGTTGCTGATCTTTTCAGTACTGAGGGGTTCCACGATTTTGCCTCGCCCTGCTTTTTTATCAAGAGGTTTCTCATTCCCCCCACCAGCCCTTTCCAACCAGGGACGGGGTTGAACTACAGGCAGCTGGGGATGATGTGACTTGTGGTCCTTTACCTTTGGAGGGCACCTGGTTGGAACAGGTTGTCCTGCCCTATCTTTTCACTGAAGCATTCCTCAGCTTTTGAACCCAAGGGAAGGGGATTACCTTGGCATTTGTTCTTAATTGGGGGCAGGAATTGCAGGGGAATTCCATCATGTGAGGGAAAGTGGAAGATGGAAGAAGGAAGGGAAGACCGAACGGGAGACGGATGGACCCCATGAAGGTACCCTTGAACTTAGAAGATCTGGGTGGGACTGTCATGAGCAGGGTATTATGGAAGGCTTTCATTCATAGGGTTGCCATAAGTTAGAGACAACTCGACAGAACACAACAACCGACAATTTAACCCCCCTGCAACTGACTTTATTTCTCCTTTTCTGCTGCTGACTGAAGAGCAGTGTTTGCTATATTTCAATCCAAACATTCACTGTGCCGGGCTGGAGAACAGGAAAGGATCTTTCTGCTTGTGGCTTGAGGCACCTTCACCCAGCCTGTAGCTCCCCATATGCCCCAGCCAACACGGCCAACGATTGAGGATCATGGAAGTTGTAGGCTAAAAACAGCTAGAGGGGAGCAAATTGGGGAAGACTCCTCCCAGCCCTGTGAGAAATTCCCGACCCATCCCCGAGAGTGCCGTGCTGCCCTGAGGTTACAGGGGAAAGGTCCAAGTTCAGCATCAGCACCCTGAGGCAGCAACTGGGCCAGCCCTGGACCCCACATGCCAGTCATGGCATCTTATTTTCCCACAATGCCCCACGGTGATGCTAGTGGGGGGCATTGTGGGAAGTTAAGATGGCGGATTGTTGGAGTGCTGCAGCTTCAGCATGCTGCTCCCACCCCAGGGGACCCTATAGGGGCCCTCCAGCGTAGGAGGGGGCTATCGGGGTGCCCTTTGCCAAGGGCCAAACCCAGAGCTGGCTTTCAGCCAGCCAACTCTGGCTTTTTAAGGACTGAAGTCTTCATGGTTCCATTTAGCCATGGGCTTCAGGAAAGGACAGTTGGAAGAGAGAGGCATCTTATTAAAAGATACACTTTTATGGAAGCCTGATTGGCCCTTTGCCGCTCTCCCAGCATGCCCTGTTCGTAGACACTCCTATTTTAGGGTTTTTATGTGTAAGTTACTGGCTATTACAGGTTGCAGCGGTCCTCTTTTCCCTTCTTTATATCTTATTTCAGGACCAACACAGCACTGTCAAGCCAGATTCTCTGACACATGGATCCTATGGTCCTTACACAGCATCTAGGGGGGGCCAAAGGATTCTTTCAGTGCCTAGATCTGTGTGCGGAAAAGAGCTCTGAGTTGTGGGGTCCGAGGGGAGGAATGCCTTGGGCAGACATGGTTCGGCATATCTCTCCCCAGCAGACATTCCCTGAATAGCTGCTGTCGTTGCCACATTGGACCGTGGCCTCTCAGTCTGGCCCTCTTCACCGCAGTAGTGGGGGGACACGACGGGGCCATCTTGGCCTCCTTGCTGGCTGCCCTTGAGAAAGGATGCAGAGCAGGTGCAGCCAGTGAGAACAGCACTCCGAAAGTTGATCCACTCCCGAAGGAGATCCATAGAGGATCTCTTGCTGGAGGATCCCCCTGCCACCCCAAACCTGAAGTTGGCGCTCTTTTGAGCCTGATTCTCCAGGCCTCACTTTCCCCTTCCAGTCCTTTCGGCATCGAGGCTAATTCCAGGCAGCGATTCATCCTTTGCTTTACAGGTCATGAACATGTAACTCTGCTGTTGATTTTAAACAACTGCATCCTTTTTCTTTCCTTTGCCTTCCATGCTGATGGAGGCTGCAGGGTCAGATCCGTAACTTCCCTGTCGATTGATTGATTGATTGATTGATTGATTGGATTTATATGCCGCTCCTGAGCCATGAGGCTTTCTGGACAGCTTGCAACATATGCAATCAAATACAACAGTCCCATAATATCCACACTTTACAGTAAAACTGATAATACCGATAAAATCAATAAATGAAACAGATCATGTGACACGGCTGAAATGAAGCAGAATAAAATGAGAGAAAATACAAAGAAATAACCTGAAAGAAAATGAGATGATCTGTTACACAGCTCTCAGTTCGGTCTTCATCAGCAACGGCTTAATTAAACCGTCCTGAACTAACACACATTACGCTGTTACTTATTTAATGTACATAAAATATTTCTAGACCACCACTTACATTCCCAGGTGAAGCACAGAATAAAAATA